GCACTTTCCCACTTTCCCCAACTGGTTCATCCCCAAAGATCTCCCGGCCGATGTCACATATCTTGTCAATAGTGAACTCATACTCCTCGTCCACCAGACGCTTACCCTCCATGGACGAAAATATCAATGGTTTACATGGCTCATACAAGTGTGATCTAAATAGGAGCACTATCATCTTGTCATCTTTCTGGATGTCAGCGGCAGCAGCAAGGTTGATGAATTCATTGGTGTACTGTACGATGGATTGGTGCGGCTTCATGTGTAAGTCAAATAAGCGTAAGCTGTTCATATCCTTGGACTGGAAGTCCCCAAACTTCTTCATTATAACTTCTCTAGCTTTCTCCCAAGATTCGCATGTTAATACTGATTCCTTGAGCCACGTCTTATATAGGAATGGTACTGCTACTTGAATTGAATCTTTCCACATTTCTTCTATCTTCGCGTAAATTCCGATGGTTGTTTCAAACTCGTGGATAAAGTGGTCGATTGAGTTGTACTTCTCTTTTGTAGGATATGGATGCTCATTTAATGTTGTTAATTGTAATTTTGGGATTTCGCTGGATCTGATGCGTTGTTTGTCCTGTCTGGCCCACTTAGATTCACTTGTTCCTTTTGGTGTTTCTACTAGGTTCATACTCCTCTCCAAAGTTAAAATCCGATTTGTCACCTCCTCAAGTTTTAACCGATGTTCGTTGATTTCCTTTTCGATTAAAGAAGATGCTGGCTGGATGTCCATTAAGTTCATCATACGATCACGAATCTTTACTTGGTACTCCTTGTAGCTCTGCATACGTTGTTCAATTGTTACCTCCTTTCCCTTTGTTGTTCTGGGTGGAGTGTTGTAAATTTGTACTTCCTTGACAGCAGACGTGATTTCATTGACTACTTCAACCCCTTCCATGGGATCTCCCGTGTTCATTTCGGCCGACTTGTCTGTCCCCTCTGCTCTGGATTTTCCTTTTTCTTCAAGAGTCATCTTCAAAAAAATTCAGGATAATCGTAAAAAATGTTACAAATCAATTACTTCTGATTTGATAAAAAAATATAAAGTATATAAAAAAAACAATGGTACGATAGGTACGATTATAAGTCCTTGTTACTTTATTTGACTGAAGTTTTAACTATGAAATAATGGGGTCTATTTATACTCTTTTGAAAGCTGACTGTTATTAGAATTGCTAGTCCATAAATTTATCTTGACTGTTGAATTCTACATGAATTCAAGGGTACGCTTGTCGCCGACAGATTGCTTCAATGATTTCTAATAATATTTTCTATCGGCTCTTCCATTGTATTCAATGTGTCAGAGTTCCAAATTTGGACAATTTATATAAATTTGGATTACCGATGATTTTTATTGTATGTGCGTTTAGCACACAAGGCATTTTTAACCAAATAAAAGTGGGTCTTCATACTATCATAATTGCAGATGCTGACAGTACAACGATAGTACACTTATCCAGTACAAAGAGACTGTGAGAAGATAAAATTAAAAATAACATCCAACCCGTTTTCTGGTTTATTAGTACAAAATAGAGGGGGAAAATAATTTCCTCATAAATAAAAATACGTCATCATTTTATTATTAAAAGGGTCATATCGAATCAATTCTGTCTATGAAATAAATAGTATGTATTTAATTGGAAGTATTTATAAGAAGTATAAATAACATTATCAAACAGAACAATTAATAAGTCCAGATAGAGCTCTAAAAGTAAGTACAAAAAAAAATGGTTAATTCCCGATGCAAAACGGAGGTCGAAATTACCGCAACGAAGTGGAGGTCAAATTTCGGTCACGTTTTGTCTTGGGAATTAGACAACGCCTGAATCGGTCGGCTACTTACTCCGCTGTTTTCACTGACTAAGAGCACTATCCGTTTCTCGGTTCACTAAAATGACAGTGATGTGCTAAGTGCACTATCGGGGTTTTTTTTTTTCTTTTTTTTTTTTTTTGCCCACTTTCGGTTTTTTTTTTTCTTTCTTGGCCTAAACCCAGTACACTAACAACACACAATGTCAAGTCAAAACATTGCTATAACAGAAGATTACATTCCTTAAGAAATGCCGAATTATATTAAAACGTAAGATGTAGCCGATTGTTAAATAACTGAATAAGAGTTGTGGTTCACAATTTGTCTTAAGCTTTACGGAAATTGGAACAACAAAAATACTCATGGGCCCAAAAAAGGACTATACCCCGTTTATTGTATGCTGGAGCAAGAACCCATCTAGTCCTCATTGTGGGTACACTGAAAAGCCATTTATCAGGATAACGCCTAGTGGAGACATAAATTATAGACAGGCACACTCGAATATAAACAAGGTCTGATTATCTGCTGCTGAGATTATAGAAAAAAAGGAAGACCCGACTTGATTTTATTTGATGTAGCTTATGCAATGTTCAGAAACTTAAAGGGTGTGAAGACTTTAAAGACCCTAGTTTATCTCTTGAAAATCAGACTGATAATATCCTAAAAAACCGAAGAAGCTTGCTTTTTGAAGAGCAGGGTAGACGATATAAATGAAGTAAACGTAACGACAATCATTTTTCCGAAGTCTTTATACACACAAACTCTGTATTCGGTGATAAAGTCATGTGTCAAATGAAATTCACTTCTGACTTCATCAATTATATTTTTTTGTTGCTGTAGGTAAATTGGCTTACAGCGGACACTTTTTGCCGTTATCCGATGCCGGAAATTCTGGTAGCTCTTTTGTATTCAATAATTTATGAATCTCATGCACTACTTCACCACCAAAAACCCTTTATTATTTTTATTTCCCCCATTCACAAAAATAAGAGCAAACCATTTTTATTGTTCGTATATCACGGCAAAGTAATACCTAATTCATCGTTTGACTTAAACTTATAGTAACAAATGATTTTCAAAGAGATAAATAAATTTCCATATGGCTTGATCAAAAGAATTCAAATCACGTTCTATAAGTGTGCATATAATATTTTGCTCGATCGTGATGGTGCTGCAACCAAACGTTATGCAGGAACTCCATCTAAATTTGATTTGAACTCCTTTAAATATTTCTGTGCATTGATGATATAGTTATGCTGTAGCAGTTTATCCAGTGTTGATGTGTGCCATCTCAGATTTTTGATCAGTGCCCATCATGCGTTATGAGATAATTTCATAATTAAAAGAGAGGGGAAAATTACGTCGATTTAACACATAATTATTGGTCAACGTCGTTATCCATAGAAACGGAAAAGGTACTGGATCATTTAATTTCCCGTGTTGGTTTGCCTTTTGTTAGAATTAAGCTTGTTATTTTTCTTCTTGTTGAATGATTAGAAACCAGTTTCCAAAATTGTCTTTTCCAAACACGGAAAAGGTGGAATATACGACATGAGGTGTAACTGAAGCGGTTTCGGGTCATAACGTCGAACGAGTGACTTTATTGGTCGCAGCATAAGGAGTGACATGGTTTGAAATTTAAACGCTGCGTTTCCTTCTATTTTTGTAGACGACCAAAAAAACAGCTAAGGAATGACCATACAAGAGAGTATGTCAGATCTTATTCTGAACAACGTTGGTGTTAGTTAACTGTTTTCGCCTTTACGATTGACAGTCAATTGTGTTAACGCCACCAAGTTTTTTTATGTACATCATTTCTGCGTAGAACCAAGTTTTTGCAAAAGCTGAAAATATTTTTGGAAGACCACCTGATGTACTTTTGTGACTTGTCTATTCAAGCGGCAAAAAAAAAAAAAAAAACACACGTCTTTCATTTTCCCACATTCTCACAAGAAACATTGTAGGAAAGATGTCCAACGTCATGCCAACTTTGAAAACTAGGTTGAACAGGTAAATATATTTGCATGGGGGATCGCAATCCTTTTTGTTCTAATTTCATTTTTAGCTTCTCAAATTTTAAAACATTTTCAACCGTTTATTAGGTAGTTTGGCTACTTGACCTTGAGATCAGAAAGCTTATAACTGCAGCAAATAGACAACAAGTTCTCATAATAAATACCGTCGCTTTTGGTAAAGGAACCCAAGCGACAAATTGGAGTTATAGGCCAATGATAGAGCCTGTCTCTAGACGATGCAGAAGAAGATGAATTGTTATTAAGGATCATGAAACCGTTCAACGTCGATATCCGTTTTATGACATATTTATTTACAATAAGCAGTACAATAGGTCTAATCGACAAAGGAGACCAGGAGAAGTCAAGGTGAAAACATATTGGTGAGTTCAAACATGCAGCCAATACAGCAAAAAGCAGCGGACTCAAACGAGAGGGGATTCAGAACACAGGAGGACAGAAGATTACAACGCATACAAAAATAATATTTCGTGGATAAGGGTGTGATATCCCAAGAAATAGAGGTATCTCGACTTGATGATACGAGGATGATAAGAAATAGGAAAATCACGTGTTGAAAAAGTAATGGGGTACGAATGAAAAAAAAAGATGTACGTTTACGGTAAATATACTTCACAATGGCAGGAGAGAATGCAAAAGTAGTGTTGGATAAAAGCGTATAATTTCCTTGAGTGTAAACGTCGTTGGAGGGTGTAATATAGAAAAATGACAACAGCAATAAATTAGTACAACGGCAATAAATTAGTATACAGAAAACAAAGAATGTGTTTGTTTTGTTTTCTCTTGTTTGTTTGATTAACTAAATATGTCTTGGACACGAGAGGAACTTTAAACTGTAGCCTTAAAACATTTAATAATCGAATCCAGGTAATGGCAGTTGCAGCTAATTATGCGAATTATTTGGACAGGACGTGTAGTTAGCCCTTTGGTAAAAAGGAAAGGGCATTTTAAATCACATTCATAAGGATTTACGATACAGTAATTGTTTTCGTGTTTTGTAGATTTATTTCCTTTTACAGAATTCTCTTTTATCAATGACCAAATAATGATAAGGTCAGCATTTTGAAGCTTCCATACACGCTGTATAATGAGCACACCAAGTCTCTTTTAAAAAATCCAGCGAACAAAAATTGCCTTTAAAGCCATTTTGATTGATGTCGTTATCCTTATTTTACTAAGAAAAAAAAAACTTTCTCAAAGTAGACAGTAGGCTTATTTTACGGTCTACCTCCGGTTAGATATTGTGCCATAGTCAAAGCTTAGGATTCAATACTTTTTTGGCTGTGCCTAAGAGATCACATGCTGTAGTGATTGTCCGTTATGCGCCTTAAATCATGTAAAACTAAACAAATAAATATTGACCTGAAACTTTTGAAAGCGTCTGACTTGTTAATAGCGTATTAAGTAGAATATAAAAAGGATCACAAACCCGAAAGTCAAACGTTTGGCGACGAGGTTTATGAGGATGAAAAAAAATTTTAAATGACTTATATCAACAGTGAATGTCTTATGCGTTCCGGCAGGTAGTATATAAGAGAAAGTGTTGTATATGCTATACCTCAAACGGTGTATGCTGAGCCACTCAAAAATGTTTGTTATTACGCAGCTTTTAGACATAGCCACGAAAACACGTCTTAGGCAATGATTAAGCGTATTTTGGCTGTTGATGAACGAAAGTCTTGGCGAATTTTCTGTTCAAACGTTCTATCGCAGTTATATTTTTAGAAATTTAAAAATGGCTGTACCTGCGTCAGTTTTTGTATTTTTTTTTTTGTTATATTTAGTGTTTCAGGTGTGTGATGTACGGTTCCACATCAGTAATAAATTCATTTTAAAGACAGTAATGGATACTTTAACTTCATACAGATAGTCATGAAAAAGATACGTGTGCTAAAAACGCAATTAGTGAATCCTAATTTTAAACATTATATACCCATAACAGTTATGCGTACACACATAAAAAAAAGTGGGGGGTATAAAATTGGTAAAAAGCTCAAGTAACGCACCTTCTAATTTAGGTGAAACTGGTTGGGCTTACAATCTTTTGTTACCTTCTTTTAATTAAAACTCAGTTACCCAAGGGTTTTGACATCATCAAAACCCATGTAGGCTTCCAAGGGAATACCTCCGCACACTACATTAAGAAAATTGCGTTGTTATCGGAAGTTAGATTGCCTTAAAAAAATATTTTTCCGCAATTTTTGAAAAACGTCACCTGCTTTCTAAAAATAGTACAACCAGCTTTTCTAATTTTTTTGTAAAATCTATTTATTTGACGAGGATAGTTTTAAGAAGGTGGTAGAGGTGGAGCGTAGATGCATCTAGAAAAAAAGCATCTATTGTTATGGTAAAACCTTCATTTGGTATGACAATGTAGAATTAGATAAAAAATAAAAAGGTAATCTCTAAAAGATAAACCCAAGGCATCTGACAGACAGACCCTAGGAAAAAAAAAACCGCCCAACGGTTAACAACTACCAGACGGACCAAGAGCAATTTTGCTACCTCTCTTTTTTTCAAGAAAAGCTCGTGGAACCTTTTGAAACCATCAAAGCTGCCAACGTCAATTATCAGAAAGTGCAAAAGTAAAAAGATGCCTGAAATCAAAATCGGGATACGTCATACATTTTTAGAAATTGACAAATTTGATAACCACTTTCACCAGAATAGCTGAAGATTGCCATGATGATTCTATTGAACATCCACAAAACTTTATCCGGCATTCTACCAATGTTGATTTTGTAGAGGCATCAATAAACGCTTTTTAAAAAGTTGGTTCAACCATACGTTTGGCCATTCAATGTATAAAAAGTAGGGCAAATCAAGTTTTTTTTTTTTTTTTTTTCTGGCAATCTAACTTCAAAAACGCAGGTGGAAGCATAGTAAGCTGGTAATGTTTCCTTCAGAAACAGGAAATGGATTTAAATTTTTGCAGTGCACCCTTTGAACACACAAATGGGTTTTAATCACAGAAAGACAATAAAAGTTGTTAAGCGAAACCAGATTCTCGTAAATAAGCGGTAATCGTTAAACAAATCTCATGAGCTTGTTACTGTTTTATACCACCACCCCCCCTCAATTTTCTTTTGAGTATTCATAAGGCGTAATTAGTATATTATTTTTACTATTAGATCCGCACCAATAGTGGTTTTTAGTATATAACCCCTTTTCATGAATAGCTATATAAAGGAAAAGAGCCCATTTCTCCATATAAATGAAATTCATAATTTATATTTTACCGTCCATCACACACCCAAAATACTGAAAAAGAAAGGAGGAAAGAGTCAATTATAAACGCAGGTACAGCCACTTCTAAGTTTCTGTAAATGAAAAAGCAAGGGGAAGTATCTAGCAACGCGTTTGTTTGGTTTTTTAAAGTAAGTGACACAATGCTTATGAAATATCAAGAATTTGGTCGCATAGGATCCGGTACATGTTTGGTAGTACCAAAGAGTTTGTTTTTTAAGGGGTCCTGCTACACCATTCAAAGTATGCCATATACAGTACTTTCTATCATATACTACTTGTTGAATTGCATCAATCATTCACATTTGAGATACGTCATTTAGAACTATTTTCTCCTGCTCATAAAACCCGTCCCCAAGATTTTGTTGATTTTAGCTTTGTAATCCTTTGGATTTATCCTTAGCAATACCCTTTTACAAAGTTAGACACGAGCTGATTTTTGTTTACATCACTGCAAAAATTATTATTTTTTGTACTGCGTTGGTGAACGTGCATTTTCGATAGGTTTGGTTTAGGGAAAAAAAGGACCCATTTTTGACGGTTTTTACTTCTTATAATTAGGGCTATTTGTCGTGATCGAGGCTATATACTTAATATATGACTCTATCTACACTTCTTAAATCTTCCATTTGATAATCCTAAAT